ATATTCAAAACGACGAGGTCGCTTGCGGCCGAGGCGCTAGAATTGATTTTTTATTAACATAACTGTAATCACCACTATAATAAGTATTATATATATTCAAAACGCCGAGTTCGCTTGCGGCCGAGGCGCTAGAGTTGATTTTATATCAACATAACTGTAATCACCACTACAATAAGTATTGTATATACTCAAAACGCCGAGGTCGCTTGCGGGCGAGGCGCTAGAATTGATTTTTTATTAACATAACTGTAATCACCACTATAATAAGTATTATATATATTCAAAACGCCGAGGTCGCTTGCGGCCGAGGTGCTAGAGTTGATTTTATATCAATATAACTGTAATCACCACTACAATAAGTATTGTATATACTCAAAACGCCGAGGTCGCTTGCGGACGAGGCGCTAGAATTGATTTTTTATTAACATAACTGTAATCACCACTATAATAAGTATTATATATATATTCAAAACGCAAAGGTCGCTTGCGGCCAAGGCGTTAGAGTTGATTTTTTATCAACATAACTGTAATCACCACTACAGTAAGTATTGTATATACTCAAAACGCCGAGGTCGCTTGCGGGCGAGGCGCTAGAATTGATTTTTTATTAACATAACTGTAATCACCACTATAATAAGTATTATATATATTCAAAACGCCGAGGTCGCTTGCGGCCGAGGCGCTAGAGTTGATTTTATATCAACATAACTGTAATCACCACTACAATAAGTATTGTATATACTCAAAACGCCGAGGTCGCTTGCGGGCGAGGCGCTAGAATTGATTTTTTATTAACATAACTGTAATCACCACTATAATAAGTATTATATATATTCAAAACGCCGAGGTCGCTTGCGGCCGAGGCGCTAGAGTTGATTTTATATCAATATAACCACTGCAATATGTATTATATACAGGGTGTTTCGGTGACTCGGGAAACAAATAATGTAACCACATATGCTAGAGTGAATGTGATGACGATTCATGTAAAAAAAATTAATAATAGTGCTCAAATTGTAAAGATATAGGCCATCAAAGTTAAGAAATTTTAACACATTTTCCTAAATATCTTAAACACTACTTATGGTAATGCGTTGAAATTTGGTACAGTGTAAACTAATATCACGTAAAATCAATAGGCAATTTTTGAGTTGGATCGGTCCGCGGGAACAATGCTGTGCAAGCTGTTTCTAAAATTTGTTTACTTAGAACTTTTTTATTCTATCATAACCCTACATTTATTTTTGCAGTTTTTAATAGTAAATTTAATTAAGAAACTTTTATCACTCTTAGAGAATATTGATAAAAACCACCGTTTTCGTATTAAATGCAAAAATGTTAGGCTCCGAATTCAATATTTTTTCAACGGTATGATTTTTCAACTATTAAAAACTGCAAAAATAAATGTAGGATTATGATAGAATAAAAAACTTGTGGGTGAGGCACTGGTGTTGATATTATATTGTCAGAAACCTGATGAACACTATAATAAAACATAACATATATTCAAAACGCCGAGTTCGCTTGCGGCTGAGGCGCTAGAGTTGATTTTATATCAACATAACTGTAATCACCACCACAATAAGTATTATATACATATACTCAAAATGCCGAGGTCGCTTGCGGGTGAGGCATTGGTGTTGATATTATATTGACAGAAACCTGGTTGACACTATAATAAAACATAACATACATGCAAAACTATGCTAGAGTTGATTTTTATCAATAAATACTTGATCACCACGATAATAAAGCATCATATATACTCAAAACGCCGAGGTCACTTACGACCGAGACGCTGGTGTAGATATGATATCAACACAATTCTGGATATCATTGGATGACAGAAACCGATATGTTATAGTCAACGACAACAAAATACCGGTGTGGTGGCAGAGAAGTAGTAAGGGTAGGAGTGCGTATGTAAATAGTTAGTGAAGTTGTTTGAAAGTGTGAGGAACAGTGGCAGAATAGTAGAATTGGTTTCGAGGAACAGGGCGGAAGAAGGGGCGAAGAGAGCGGACAAGGTGGCTAGGTCAGATGTCGTTAAAGGGAAATTTCCTGAAAAGCTGTTCCCACTTCTCAGATTTAAGAGATTTCATTAAGGCGTGGATAAGGTAGTTTAGATGTCGGATTTCGTCCTTATGGATGGGGACTTGTAGTTTGTAGTCGTTGTTGTTCACGTCTCAGTCTGTTATATTTCATCTTCAACTGTGCAATTTCTGGTGTTATTTGAATTTCGTTCGATTTAATCGTTCTCTTGTTTGTGGTGAAAGATTTAGATAATTTCCGTAAGTGTTTGGATATGGGTATCTATAGTTTGGATGTCCGGGATGTTATTATTGATGATAAGCGAGAACTAAAAAATGAAATCGTTATTGTAACGTATTTTATTGTTATTGTGTTGAAAAATACTTTTAGTATAAAAGTTGTAGCAAACTTTATTTCTAATAACATTGCTCTTTTACACTTTTGCTTTCAGATGCATAAATATCCAGAAAAATGCGAATAGCTGAAAATTAGATAAAATTGTGTTTTTACACACTTGTTGCTGGTAGAGCACGGATTCGGAACGTTTTAGAAAAAAAGATTTAGTATAAAAGTTGTAGCAAACTTTATTCTTAACCATATTGCTCTTTTACACTTTTGCTTTCAGATTAATAAATATCGAGACAAAATTGGAAATTAGATAAAATCGTGCTTTTATATTTTGTTGATAGAAGAGCACGGGACTTGGAACGTTTTAGACACAATATTTTATTATAAAAGTTGTAGCAAACTTAATTCTTAACAATATTGCTCTTTTACACTTTTGGTCTCAGATGCATAATTATTAAGAAAAAGGTCGAAAAGGTAAAAATTAGATGAAATCGTTGTTTTTCATCTTGTAGTTAAACCACACGATTTGGAACGTTTTAGAAAAAACGTTTTAGCATAAAAGTTGTTTTATAACAACTTATAAAGTATTAATTTAACATTTGTTCAAACAGAGATCTTAAAACTTTTTTTAAAACATTCTTTACACCATCTAAAAAGTCTTTCTACTTTAAGATTACAAGTTTCCATATAAGTCGGAACGGTTTTGTTCAGTGGGTGTATGTTTTTATGTTAAAGAAGGACTCTGGACTTTCCGTGGGCACAAACCGATGGAATTGCTTGGTTTATTTTTAGAGGCTCAGGTGAAAACGAAAGCCGTTTCTCGAATCACCTGTGTTTAAACCAGTTGGCAATCGCAATACCGCGACGATAATTTGCTCGAAAAACCGTTCCTCCCCAGCGATTACAAACCATCTTTTCCTTATATTTACTTTTTTCTAATTGCTAATTATACCCGAAGGCGTCTAAACCTTCCGTCGGGACGCGCGTGCGCTCGTGTTAAATTAAAACGCGCACCGAAACGTAAACAAAATATATTCAAGCACACAAACATGTGTTAATAAGTTAAAAACTACGTGAAATTAATCGCAAATTAGTTACGATTTTGAGTGTATAATGCACTAAGATATATAAAAAGTGATACGTCTCTTTCAAAAGAAAATTGGCAACAAAGAAAAAGATCCAAAATAGAATGGTTTCAAAATAAAATTAATCAGGATAAATGTGCAAGATGAGTAAATCGCAGTCTACAACGAAACAGGGGAAAAGAAATTTACCTCCCGGAGTAGCGAAATTAAAGGTAGGATTGTTGATAATTAAAACAAAATTTATTGTTATGTTTTGTGTTAAATTATATAATTAGAAAAACAAACCGTCTTACGTTGTATGTTGATAATGCAAAATATTTGCAAGGCCTCAGTAGCGCAGTAGGCAGCGCGTAAGTCTCATAATCTTAAGGTCGTGAGTTCGATCCTCACCTGGGGCATTTATTTTTTTTTTTTATTTATCTTTCAAATTTATTATTGTTGATAACTGTTTCTTTCATTTTAAGGCCATCTTGGACTCTCTATTTATCTTGTACTGTACTACTCCTCCCATGATCACGTAGACTGGCCCCTCGTACTGTTGTTTTATTTATATAGGAATCTAGTAAATTATTAACACTAATAAGTATACTAATATTTGTTTCTAACTTAATCTACAACGATTGCATAACATGGTATCTTATATAGCCGCTTTGGTTTTATTCAGCCACTCTTATATCTACAGGTGATTCTCAACCCATACGCATAAACTTGGGGAATTATTCCTTATGACAAATAATGAGTAATAGTTGAAAAAATGGTAGCAAAAGTTTTTTAGTTTCCTAGATATCCATGAAATTTACTTCCAAATCAAGAATACATATAAGATTTTAAAATGTCATCAAAGTAAGTGTTCCAAGTTGTTTCCAATATTTTCTATACACAATTACCTTGCTTACTATTAACTTCCTCAATATTCATTTCCTCCGCTGCAATGTTAAATGCCTGTGTTAATCACTGTATGCCATCCTCAGTATCAGCCAAGAAGATGGCATCGTCTGCATAGCACTCAATCTTGATTTTGTAATCATTTATATCTAACCATAGCTTACATTACATACTTTGTAATGTTTGTCCTGTTCTAATTCTTTTATCCTTACTTTCTTGAACGTTTTGGTTAGATCAACGAAACAGAGGAAGGCTGCCTGACGTTTTTTCGCCGGTGTTCTATCTGATTCTTTGATACATTTTCGTCAACATTATGTGATTCGTACATGTCATTCTTCATCTCGTCGGGCGATCGAGATGGCCAGGCCTATGAGCTACCTCAACCTGTCCATCTTCCGGGAAGTACCTTATATTATAATATAACTATGAAACTAAAAATCTTTTACTACAACTTTTTTCACCTGTTACCCATTATTTGTCTCGAAGAATAAATCCCCAAGTTTATGCGTATAGGTTTTTAACTAAGCCATCGTTATCCAAGAGCTGAAAAGTCTCGCTTTTGATGTGTTAGTGTATCTTCTGTTCGTGTGTTCGAGCATATTCTTTGATAACGTTGTAGACAGTCACTTAGAACGTACCAATGGACGCTAATAAGTTTTCTGAGTGCTTTGTTCTGAAACCGTTGCACAATGTTTCGAATTCTTTGTTACAATCCCAGAGTTGAATGCCATAATTCCACACTGATTTAAGGACTTAAGCCCAATATAGCTAGTACAGTTTCTTGTACTTAAGTTTGAGTTAAGTATTTTATCTTGATGTTCCATTTCTATTACGGAATATGAAAGAGGACTTTTTTCTGAATTTGGTACAGCCAAAATTAATATTAGTTACATAAGAAAATTTTCGAGAAAAATTGCCTTAAAGTGTCATGATTTTCCATTCATTTGAGGCAGAAAAATAGCAGTAGCCATGCGTAATCATGGCAACCCGTTGGTTTAGATATTTTATTAAGACAATGATTAATTTTGGATATCTGAAACAATTGGTTGCTATGGTTACGCATGGTTACTGCTATTTCTCTATCTCAAATGAATGAAAAATCATGAAACATTAAGATAATTTATCTCGAGAAGTTTTATATATTATTATTGACTGTACAAGATTCAGAAAAAAGTCCTCTTTCATATTCCATAATAGAAATGGAACATTGCTATTTGAAAAAAAATATCGATGACGTCATTACTCGTTTAAAAATGGCGGAAAAAATTTAAAATCTATACCAAACAATTGTAAGAAATGTAATTCTTTAGACCGGTCTCAGCGATTTTCCATAAACTGTTCTTAATTGTTTTAACGAATTTATCCATTACTTTTGGGAAATCCTGTATACATTAATGATATGCCATGCAATATTGATGCAGACACATATTTCTATGAAATTGATACGTCCATAGTATGTAACGGCATAAATTGGAACAAGCTATGTTATCCTGCCAAGAATGGTGTAAAGAAATTGGATTGTGATAAAACCGAACATATACTGTTGGGAACCACTTGACATAGAAAAGAACCTGTCAGTGTGTCAAATCCAGAAATTGGATTTGGATCTGGATTGCATCTGGTTGACATTAGATGTGCACTTGAAGTATCTTCGGTCTAGGCTGATTTGTGCAGTTTTTGCGATAAGAAGACTAAAGCAGGTGACTAGGTTGTCATATTTTGCTTCATTTCATTTAGTGGCATTTTATGGTATCCTGTTTTGGGGCAGGGCATCTGATTTTCTGAAGAATTTCCGACAGCAGAAGAAGGTGGTACAGTTGCTGTGCGGACTGCATACAGATGAAAATTGTAGGACCTACGGGAGAATATACATTTCCATTAGGACTTTCTGATCTTTGTTGTTCCTCGATGTTATGTTCCAGCATCTTAGACGTATATTACTAGATTTCTGTATTCGCTTTTTTCTTGCTCTAGCGGTGTCAATTCTCCATAACATCCAGTATTTGAGAAATCTGAGGATTTGCGTTTATCGAGAGAGCTGTAAACAAAACTTTGAAATGATATCCATGGCTGTCGCTTTATCAGGCGTTAAACATTTTGTATAGTTGCCGTCTGCCATTAACTTTCGAATATCAGGTCCGACAAATATTCCTTCTTTAATTTTTATGTATAACAACTTAGGAAACAAGTTGGCTAAATACTGAATAACCGGATCTTCATGATTGATCGCTTTGAGAAAGTTGACAAAAGTCAAGATTGATGTCAAAACATGGCAGGAATATGTCTTGGAGATTTACAAGGTATTTAGAGGATACTTCTTATTTTCGGAATTTAGTGAATCCAGATTACATCAAAATCAAAAGTCCAATTACATTAGTGGGAAAAATATGTAAATCTATTCATGTTTAAATTAGAATTAATATACTTTAATATCTCTAGATCACCGCAAATTTTCTATTGATGCTTGATCTTGCTCAAGATTGTACACGTTGTATCGTAGCATTCCTTTATTTCTACTACATGAACAACTGGAATGGACGGTTTTTTATGTGCAATGTGTAGCAGAGCAGCCTTTAGACTATATTTTAAATCATCGTTGAATAAACGCCATTTCTTTCGATCATACGGTGTATTCATGGCATCAAATAAGTCGTTGATGTCATCGCAGAAAACATGTTTACTTCTTTCTTGAAGAATTGTTGAAGTCCTTCATTTGTTTTCCTGTATACACTGACTTGTATTACACTGTCAAGATATTTTCATTTTTGCAGCCTTGATCAAATCACTCAGTTTACTTTGCCTTATTAAATGGTTTCCTTCCATTATGAAATCACTATTACTGGTTGACGGAGATGCAGTGGAACTTTGCTGGGAATTTCACTTACACCCGGACAAACTGGCAATGGGTCACTACTCGTATGTGGAACTGAATATACTGATGATACATCATGATATTTGTATTGTGCTAGTTTTTTTGCATTTTACCGACGACGTTCATCAAGCAAAAGTGAAATCATCTACATGATTTTTTGGTTCTCTCCATAGCATTCACAATGAAAATGAAAAGTACACTTTTTCACTAAGTGACTACTTGTACAGCTTTATTCGACACGTATTACAAATCAACTTCGGTACCCACGGCTTCTAAGTGTCTGATATAGAAAAACCAAAGTAATATAAATACGCATTTGTTATTAGTTTGCCACTTTTACCGGGTACCTTCCACAAACGTAACAAAAATATTTTTAATTCACTTTGCAAAGCTCTTCATTTGTACCAATTACAACGTTTCACAGACTACTGACGTTTGTACAATTGTATTTAGTTGTACTGAAGTGATGTCTGGTATTAGGTTTTGTTGTCAAATGTCAATATTACCAACATAAACTCAAAAAGTATGGCACCCTAAATGGTTTTTTTATCGAATATTCTATAAAATTATCACCGTTTTTTCAAAATTCGTTGAGAATCGTTCTCATTTGATAGGGTTTATCGGAATTTGTAAACTTATGGTATTTATTATTTTTTCTTGATACATAACCAAAGTACAACCTAATGCACAACACTCTTTTCAATGCTCTTGATGATGATGCAAGCGAGAATAATGGGGTTGGGTTTGGTGAAATTAGTGTGGTTTGCCAAATACTTTGACGAAGATAAAATCGAAAAATTTGTGTGAATCTAAGATTTCTTCCCACATTTGAATTTTTGAGATAGCACCGTTTAAAAATATAATGATAATAATCTAATATATTTTACAGTTCAGAATGTAGCATAGTACATTTAACAACAAAGTTTAAAAAAGCTAGTGTAACTAGCGCATGTTTCAGCAAATGTTATAAACTTTTGTGGTGCGTCTCTTTCCCACTGATTCGCTCAATCACATTCACTGGTTGAGGATTAACTACTCTTTGTAAAATGGCTTCATTCGTTAATTCTTCCACAGTTGGTTCTACAGCTATTTTTAGTCGAGACCAAGAGAATGCGCTAGCATATATGGCATTCTTGATATTATATTTCTGTTGAAAATTAGTTACATCACAATTTAAAGTATACCTAAAGAAAGGACCTTCTATAAAAGGTATACAGGTTGGATCAATGAGGTAACATTTGATGGCAAAAATGTTACAAATATGTTGCCAGAAACTAACTCTGTTATTGGTGGACAAGTTTTGCAGTTATCCAAAAGAAGGAGAGCTTTGCTGTGTTCTGGCAGTTTAAGATATTTAAAGTTATCCTTGATCTGTGAAACAAAGTGGTATAAAAACCAGTCTTAAAATAATGCTGCTGTCATCCAGACATTTTGTTGGGCATGGTAATGAACAGG